GGGTTTAGGGTTTAGGGATTTAGGGTTTAGGGTTTCGGGCTTCGGGTCGAGGGTTTAGGGTTAAGGGTTAAGGGGTCGGAGTGTCAATTCGAGATGGTCGTTTCGGCTCATGCAAGATACTTCCACGTCGATTTCGGGTTTTCGCCGGTTTGCGCAGAAGGTGGCCCTACACCTAAACCCTAAACCCTAAACCCTAAACCCTAAACCCTAAACCCTAAACCCTAAACCCTAAACCCTAAAAGCGAAACTGAACAAGCCCTAAAGCCTGAAGAGTGCCACGAAGAGCTGGCAGATTTGACCTTCTAAGTGCGGTTTAGGGTCCAGGGTTTAAGGTATTTGTAGCCGTGGCTGCCGAGCCACCAAGGTTCAGGGTTCAGGGTTCAGGGTTTAGGGTGGGCTCTTAACCTGTAGGCGGCTAAACCAAGCCCCTTAAATAGCATCCCAAATTAAATCCCCGTACAATCCTGACGTTGCTTGGACATTCTTAAACTCACAATACCCTCCTCCCAAATCGCCCATTCTATTTAAATCGGCCCCTTCAGACCCTAAACCCCAAAGTAAAACCCGCCCCCTAAACCCTAAGCCCTAAACCCCCAAACCCTAAACCCTAAACTCTAGACCCTGAACCATAAACTCTAAACCCCAAACCCTAAACCCTAAACCCCCAAACCCCAAACCCTCAACCCTAAACCCTAAACCGTCAGGGCTTACGAACATGGCCGAACAGCTGGCCAGGAGCACAGCTAGGTTTCCGTCGTCGGACGCTTCGGGTTCAGGGTTCAGGGTTCAGGGTTTCGGGTTTGGGGTTTTAGGGTTTAGGGTTTAGGTTTTTTAGGGTAGGGCTAGAGGTTTCACCCTAACCCTAAACCCCTAAGCCTTAAAATCTTCGGGTTAAGGGTTTAGAGCTGGCAGGAGCTATAGGAGTGGGGCAGCCTTCTGCCCCAGGGTTCTCCGTGACATTGAAATCCCAAAGGTGTCTTTTTCTGAGGCATTTGTTTTTTGTTTGTTTTTTGGCTTTAGGGTTTAGGGACAGGGGTACTCTTGGTTGTGGGGTGTACCCTTGGTTGTGGTGCTTTCTCGAGAATCTACGTCAGCTGCGTAGGTTTGCCTGTGAGCAGCTCGCTTCAAGAGGGTCTTTGTAGGACCGCGCTGCCTGTGGTTTGGGACCTGACTGCTCTAAACCCTAAACCCTAAACCCTAAACCCTACCCTTACCCCTAAACCTTCAACCCTGAACTCGTGCCCTCACACACCAACACTCCAAACACCCGAAGGTGAGAGGCAGAATGCTGAAGCAGATGTTTCCATGGTTTCCATGGTTTTGTGATCTTAGCAGTTTTAATGGTTGGGTTTAGGGTTTAGGGTCTGCATAATTTAAGAGCCTCCGGCTCAAGCCGCCGACCCCGCAGGAGAACAAGTTTAAGGTTTGGGGTTTGGTTGCGGTTTTTGTTGGGGGGGGGGGGGGGGGGGGGGGGGGGGGGGGGGGTGGGGGGGGGGGGGGGTTGGGGGGGGGGGGGGGGGGCGGAAGGGGGGTGGGGGGGGGAAGGGAAAGGAAGGGGTAGGGGGGGGTAGGGGGGGGAAGGGGGGGGGGGGTGGGGGGGGGTGGGGGGTAGGGGGGGGTGGAGGGTTTTTTTCCAAAAGAGCCCCTATGCCCTGTGCGAAAACATGAGTTTACGCGGTGTGGGTGGTGTGTTGGGTACCCCCCCCCACCCCGCGTTTGGGGGGTAAGGAGGGAAAGAGGGAGGTTTTCACCTCCTTTTCCCATCCAACACGCCGCCAGGGTCGGCGGACTTTACCTTGTTCCTCAAACCCTAACCCCCAAACCCTAAACCCTAAACCCCTAAACCCCTAAATGCTAAACCCTAAATCCCTAAATCCCTAAACCCTAAACCCCTGAACCCCCAAACCCTAAACCTGAAGCCCCCTAATCAGGTCCTAGCATCCTGCGGAACTGCCATCCTCGTGGTGGTCTTTGCGAACTTGTTTCATCGCGCCTTTGCTGGCTCAAGGGTTTGAGTTTGCTTGCTGGTTTTGTTGGGTTTAGGGTTTAGGGTTTAGGGTTTAGGGTTTAGGGTTTAGGGTTTAGGGTTTAGGGTTTAGGCTTAGGGCTCAGGGTTGATGGTCTAGGGTCTAGGGTTTGGGGTTGGGATGTTCCCCCTGATACTAACAGTCCTTAATAGCGATTACAGTACCTTTTGTAGCAAATCCCTATTTCGGACTGTTCATATAAGGGGGAACATCCCAAGATAGAGGGTTTCTAACGGGTTCATAAGTTTACACAGATTATGAAGGGTTTATTGAAGAGTTTATAAAGGGTTGGACAAAGGGTCTATGCAGGGTTCATGCCAGGTCTATATGAAGGGTTTATACAGGGTTATCAAGGTTTGTGAAGGGTGAGTAAAGGGTTTTAAGGGTTTATGAGGGTGTTATGAGGTTCCGATGGATGAAGAATTCGGAAATCCCTAAACCCCAAACCCTAAACCGTAAGGACAAAAGGACTGCCAAGGGCATGCAAAGGGTAGCGGCAGTTCAGGCCTACCACTAACCTTGAGATGCCTTGGAGCATATAAGCAAATCAGACGACGTAACGTCACCACAGGTGCCGTTTAGGGTTTAGGGTTTAGGTTTAGGTTTTAATAGCCGTCTAGGGTTTAGGGTTTAATTGTTAGGGTTTGCAATAAGATGCCAAAAAGCAACTATGAACACCAGATTCTGAATTTTAAGCCCCAAGCGGGCCTTGGCCGAAAACATCCCTAAACTCCAGGGACGCCTAGAAGGGACCCTTAATCTTATTCCCCTATAAAACCCCTATAGAGACCTTATGTAGTCCTTAGGGTTTAGAGTTTAGGGTTTAGGGTGTAGGGTTTAGGGGTTAGGGTTTAGGGTTTAGGGTTTAGGGTTTAGGGTTTAGGGTTTTGGGTTTTGGGTTTTGGGTTTACGGTTTAGGGTTTAGGGTTTAGGGTTTAGGGCTACAGGCTGCAAGATCACGTTCATCCCGGAGTCGCTGATTGCCGTGGCGCTGGGCGGAGGTCTCGGTATCGCCCCTCTGCGTGATTTCCACCGTTGAAGCCCCAGTTCAGGGTGAGGGCTCAGGGTTTAGGGTTCAGGGTTTAGGGTTTAAGGTTCAGGGTTTAGGGTTTAGGGTTTAGGCTTTAGGGTTCAGGGTTCAGGGTTTTTAGGGTTTAGGGTTTGGGTTCAGAGGCAACCCGAATACTAGTACCAAACTGCAAGGCCGCGCCTCAATTCCTAAACCCTAAACCCCATCCTTTCTAAGAGCCCGACAGCATTCTGAGAGACCATCGTAGGGGTCCGAATACGCTTAAACCCCAACAAGCCCCAGCCCCCCCCTCCCCCCCAAAGTTTTAAAGAACAGTTCCTACCCAAAGCCCTCAGCCCTCAGCCCTCAACCCTCAAACCCTAAGCCCTAAACCCTAACCCCCTAAACCCCGAAGCCCCGAAACCCCAAACCCTAAACCCCTAAACCCTAAACCCCTTAACCCTAAATTCAGAGGAGTAGGTCCTCTCGGCCCAGGGTCTCTACAAGAGTGAGTGGGGTGGCCGCCAAGACTACCTCAGCCAGCCAGTGGAGTACGCCCTTTTTAGCCGCTCTCTCCAAACGATGGGGGTTTAGGGTTTAGGGTGTAGGGTTTAGGGGTTAGGGTTCAGGGTTTAGGGTTCAGGGTTTGGGGGCTGTGGGTTCCAGGATTAGGGTTCAGGGTTTAGCGCGGTTAGGGTGTAGGGCTTAGGGTTTGAAACCCTGCGCCCTAAAGCTTGAAGTTTTGGTTTTGTTGGGGTCCACAACGTACTCGAAGTCTCGAACCCTAAAACCTTGTAAACCAACACCCCCGAAGCCGCAAACGCAAAAGCCCTAAGGGTCCATGTACCTCAATGTTATATACTTGGGAGCAAGTACTCCAGGGCCCTAAGCCCTAATCCCTAAACACAAGTGTTCCCCGTTTAGGTACATGGACCTTGTAAGGAAGAGCATGCCAAGTTCTTGTTCTGAAGTGGCGAACCTTAATTCATAAGGAAGGTAGGGGTTAGGGTTTAGGGTTCAAGGGTCTAGGGTTTAGGCACATCACACACGGTTTAGGGCTTGAACAAAGCTGCTCGTTAGGAGGTGGTCCAAACAGCCAAGGTCTTTCGTTGAAGCTCTACTGCTTGCTGCTTGAGCTGGAATAGTCGTCGTTCAGAGTTTAGGCTATGCCTTAAGAACCCAAAGCCTGCTTTTCCAAAGCCTGCATTTTATTGCGTAGGTTACCTGAGAATCTTATTAGTGTTTTGTTTAACTAGAGCCTACACAAAAAGTATTTTGGATGCCAGCTACCGCCCTTCATGAAACCCATTGAGAGCTCTTTTTGACTTGGGCTTAAGTTGGATGTTCATGGGTACATCTGCCCCCCAATTATTAAGTCTACGTCTTTCCTGCCTCGGGGAAACCCTAAACCTTAAACCCTAAACCCTTAAGCAGCTGCACTTGGGGTTTTCAAGTACCCATGCACCTCCAAGTAGGAACCCCATGGGTGCCTTGCCTCCGTTCTCTTATGGGGCTGCATGTCCCTCAAAACCCCCTATTTCTTAGTAGGGAATCAGGGAATCAGGGCCCTATATATACCCTTTAAGGGATTATATGGGGTACCTCTTTCCCTTATTCCCGACTAAGAACCAGCCAGAAACGCGAAACCTGAAGCCTCACAGCTTAAACCCCAGACCTTATGCACAACAGGGATCCCCTCTTCTTCCTAGGTTGTTGGGGTGCCCTACCTACATATACTAATAATCATGCATACATATATATATATATTTATTTATTTATTTATTTATTTATTTATATTTATTTATTTGTTTATTTTGTTAATATACATGTACGATATATACATGTATGGATAGGATATCGCATATTGAAACACCACTGATAGCTTCGGGAGAGAGCTAGCGACACAAGTTTTGTGGGGTCGTAAGCCGGACGCGCAGAGTTGTCGGTCGAAAGCCTCTTGGCTCATGAGCGAGTTTCGGTCGCCTCCTTAGAGTTTCGGGTGTACGGGGTTTAGGGGTTTAGGGTGCATAGGGTTTAGGGTTTAGGGTCTAGGGTCTAGGGTTTAGGGTTTAGGGTTTAGGTTTTAAGGTTTTTGGTAGGAGGTTGTAACTTCTTGCTGCGGGTGTGTTCTTTGCTGAGGGAAAACTTGTTGCTCTAGGCTAGGTGCAGCACCGGTGCACATGGCCGAGGAGAGGGCGCAAGCAGCCAAGAGGCTAGTAGACCGAGTACTGCAGGCTCATGGCAGTGTACTGGGAAGGCACAAGTACCTGGAAATTTTGCAGTTGCAAAGCGGCCTCTGCGACTCAGAGCTAGACCGCAAGAAGCAGCAGCTGATGTTGTTGCTTCATCCCGATAAGGTGGATGATGTGGTCGCCAAGCTGTGTGGTGGACGGCAGCGGGTCAGGCAGGCATTCAATCTCGTCGAAGCTGCTTTCAATGATGCCCAGATGTGGCTTTGTTCGGGACCGCCCACACAGGCGCAGCAAGTACAGGACGATGCTGGAGATGAGGCAAACTTGAGGTACAGGCTGTGGGAAGTGACGTTGGAATCAGAGCGAAAAGCATGGACGCTGCTGGAGGATCTTCAGAAGGACAGCCAAGCAAGTTTGCATGGTTTTGTGGAAGCTGAGGCACCGGAGCAGCAGCAGCAATTGTGTCGGGAAGAAGCACGCCGAACGTGTACACGCGCACAGGCGCGCACAGAACTGCTGGACAGAAAGCTGAAGAATCAGGCGGGGATTCAACAGATGCAGCAGCAGGCACATCAGAAGCTACAAAAGGACCTGGACGAGAACCAGCAAAACAAGCAGCAGGAGGCGGCAACGACACGGAGGCAAAATCCGCTGTCACAGCAGCATCCGGAATCTAGTCGGAAGAAGAAGGGGAAGGAAGACGAAACTGCACGGCAGGTGGTAGAGCCAAACCAGCAAGAAGTAGTATGCAAAGTGAAGCAAGAGGAGAGGCGACGAACCCCAAAGCAGAAGAACAACAAGTGCGAGAGCAAGCTGCAAGATGCGTTGCGGATGCAAGTGGAGGAAATGCAGAAGTTGCAAGCAGAGGCCCAAAGCAAGGAGATGACGTCACAACCGATCTCAAAGGATGTTGATGGCCGGCCTCAAAAGTGGCTCAAGCTATCCGCCGCGGATCTTGATTGCAACGAAGTTCCACATCGGCAGGGTGCAGCACAACTTCCTTCCTCAGCGAGTCATGGAAACTCAGAGAGGGCGATGTCATCGAAAAGGGAGACGGGGACATCTGCGAGCCGGTTGCTCATCGGGCAAGTGGCCGATGTTTTGCAGAGCTGTGCGGCCGCGAGCGGGGAAGCCTGGTCGGGCGTGATGGTTGGTGAGTTTCTTGGTGGCCCAGTGGTGCCCTTTACCTTTTTTTTTTGGTTCTGGGTTCCCTTATAAAGTAACCGAAAAAAGGGTGCCCTTATTGAAATGTGGTTACTGGGCTACTGGTACCAAGGTTTTGTGATCACTTCCAGCAGCTCTTGGGAGTTTCCATCAAGGATTCCTTGATTCAAGCTGGTGATTCCAACATTCTCAGCTTCTTCCGCAAGTGGCCGAAGAGCGTGGAGGTGTTCATGGACACAGACTCTTGCAGCTGGATGGTGCGCCTGTCTGTGAGCAAGCTGCAAGCCTTCCCTCCCAGTCGCAGCAGTTGACGCCTTGTGAGAGAGCACATGCGGGGGACTCCCTGAACCCTAAACCCTAAACCCTCCAAGGTAGGGGCCTAACCGCCTAGTAGGAACTCCCCCCTCCCCCAAAAAAAAACAAGCAAGAAAAACAGAAAGGTCCATAACTTCGAGAGCCTTAAACCCTACACCCAAAACCCTAAACCCCCCCCCCCGCATGAGGGTTCAGGGTTGAAATCTTCAACACAGACAGCTCATGAAAAACGAGCGGGCTTCGGGGCAAAAACAAGCCTGCGTTTTGGGAAGTAGGATGTGCTGGGTTTAGGGTGTAGGGTGTAGGGTTTATGGTTTAGGTTTTAGGGTTATTTAGGGTAGGGTTTAGGGTTTTGGCTCTCTTGTTTGGCCCAGGATGGCCGGTGGTACTTGTCTTCCCTTGTTCTAGCAATGGTTGGGTTCCTTTACAACCCGAATGGCACAACGGTCCCCCTCTCCCCAAATCCTAAACCCTAAGCCCTAAACCCGAAACACTAGACCCTAGTTTTTTGGGGAGTGAGTCCTTGAGGGCTTAGAGCTTTTAGGGCTTGGGGAGGGCTTAGGGCTTTGAGGGTTTAGGGTTTAGGGTTTCGGGTTTCGGGTTTAGGGTTTAGGGTTTAGGGTTTACGGGCGCCAGCTCAGGCCCATCATCATCTTTGAGTCGGGATGGTCGCTGAGACAGCGAGACTTCTTCTCACAGCCGGCCCCCAAGCGCGTGGATGCTGGGTTCAGGGGCGTGAGGGGTTTAAGGGGTTGAAGGGGCTCAAGGGGTTTCCGGGGTGTAAGGGGTTTAAAGGGGTTGAAGGGGTTGAAGGGCTTTAAGGCGTTTAAGGGCTTAAAGATTTGTGGCTTATTCAGGGTTTCAGGGTTTATGGCTATAGGGGTTTCAGGGTTTGAGGGTTTATGGGTTTGAGGAATCCCTAAACCCTAAACCCTAAACCCTAAACCCTAAACCCTAAACCCTAAACCCTAAACCCTAAACCCTGTTTTAAGGGCCCATGGCCCGAGGTTGATTGTTTGGGTCTCGGTGTTTTGTGGCGATACGGAGCCTTCAAGCTCTAAGGGCTCCGACATGTGAGGGCTTCGTTCTTCCCTAAACGCGTAAAGGTACTATTTGCATAAGAAGGTTTAGGGTTCAGGGTTTAGGGTTTAGGGTTTAGAGTTTCGGGTTTCGGGTTTAGGGTTTAGGGTTTGGGAACCTCCAAAATTTCAGGACAGCAATCCCTATGTTGCCCGTATAAGGAAGAATATTTAGTTGTTTTTGCGGGGTTCTGAAGCAATTAGCAGAAAGTAGGGTGTGTTTGCTTCTGGCATATACCTGGGTGATGTTGTCGCTTCAGGGCGAGAAGGTTGAACTGCTTTCCGCTCGCATTGAAACTCCTTTTCCATGAGTACCCTGGGGCTACCGGTTTAGGGTTTAGGGTTTAGGGTTTAGGGTTTAGGGTTTGGGCTTTAAAGCTTTGGGATGAGGATTCCGAGGGGATTTGCTGTTCAAGGCAGCTCAGCATGAAGTTCTCCATATGCAACCCCTGGCCCTAGACCAGAACCCCATAATTTCAGCATGTTTGAAGGCGCGGAGTGAGAGTACCCTAAACCCTAAACCCTAAACCCTAAACCCTAAACCCTAAACCCTAAACCCAGGCTACCGGGCAGTTTTGGCTACTCAGGCCCCCTCCGTGAGCCTTGAAATCCAGCATAAGCCAACAAACTCGAAACCCCAAACCCCAAACCCTGAACCTTGGGACCCTCTAGTAGAAGCCATCCGGAGCCCTAAGTTTTTACAGGTTGAGGGTTCAGGGTTTAGGGCTTAGGGCTTAGCGCTATAGACCCTATTCCCTGGGCCCTGTTCCCTGGGCCTCCTGGAGGATCGGATACATCCTGCTGCTGGCCATTGTCGGCACCAGCATCTCGGTAGTCCCTCAGCTTCACTGTGGGTGCCATTTGGGCATGTTTCAGAATAGGGGTACCCCAAATATACCCCAAACACTATATCCTATAGTCCTAATTACAGGAACCCTACCCCTATTTGCGGAAGCCCTACACCCTAAACCCTAAACCCTGAACCCTAACCCCGTTTGGTTCGCCCCGAAAGCCTATTTCCTGAAGCCCCAACCCCGAAAGCCTGCAGTAGGCCACCGAGAGCCATCCATGGAATCTTGAGGGCTTGAGGTATGGCGATTTAGGGTTGAGGGTGTAGGGTTTCGGGTTTAGGGTTTAGGGCTTAGAGGATGTTTTCATGCCGTGCGCGTCTGAATGAAATGTTTTGATTTTTTTCTGATTCCCATGGCTGTTGATACGGTGGATGGGCAAATCTCTGCATGATTGAAGCGCTTCCTTCGGAGATGTCTTCGAAGACTTCTGGAACACGTGGGAGCATGTACAAACTAAACCCTAAACCCTTCTTTTGCAGCTGCAATTCCCCGTTGCCCTAAAGCCTACACCCCAAAACCCTACACCCCAAGCCCTAAAGCCCAAATCCCAAAGGATCAGCTGCAAGGTGAGGTGCTTATAAGCCTAAACCCTAAACCCGAAGCCCTAATTTGTGTCAAAGATATGCAAGTAGGCCTCAGGGCACATATATATGTATACATAATATATACATATTATATATATATATATATATATATATTTAGGCAAGCAAGTAGAAATGCATATAATAAACTAACAAATACACAAACAAATGCAGACACCTATAAAGAAATTAGGTCAATAAACAAATAAACGCCTTTGTGTATATGCAGTTGAGTTTTTAGGCGTTAGGTTGGGACATAAGAAACAAGGCATGTTGGGGTGCAGGACTTGGTCCCAATGTCGCAGGTGGTGGTGGCACAGCTGTTGCTGGCGACGTCAGAGTACCACGGGATCACTGATCAGAGACGCCTGGCACGCAACGATCAGAAGGTTCTAGGAGGGCCCGTTTCATATGGATTTAGTGCCCCCAAGAACCCCTGTGTTTGGTATAGTTTCTGGAGGCTTAATTCCATAATCATACTGCAAACTGACCCCCCGGTGATATTCCTTTTAGGGTTTGGGGTTTACATGCACTTTTTGGGGCACCCTGTATAGCCTCGTACAGGCTACATATCTATGTATACAAGGGCTCTGTGTTCCCAGAGACCCAACAACGGATCCACATTTTACCCCCCCCCCCCCCCCGACATGGCACGGCCCTTGGGACTTTGAGATCCCAAAAGTGTTTGTTTGTTAAGGGGGTTTAGGGTTTAGGGTTGGGGGGGTGCAGGGTAAGGGCCTTTCGTGAACTTCGTAAGCGCGCGACACAACCCTGGCAGGTGCACAGTCTGCGGGGAGTAGCGGTTTCTCAAGGCTTCGGGCGTCGAGGTCTGCTGCAAGTATAAGTCCATTAACCTTCAACCCTAAGCCCGAAACCCTCAACCCTGAGCCCTTATGTCCGAGGTCGAGCTAGGAGCCCCAAACCCTACAGCAGATGCGACACCCCACCCTGAACCTCACAAGCCACCCAAGCCTGTACACGCCGAGCTCTAACAGCGCCACCATACCCTGCCTTGCATCCCAAGCGTTTTTGGCCTTAGGCTTTGGGGCCCTAAACCCTAAACCCTAAACCCTAAACCCTACACCTGAAAGTCCGAGAATCCTAAAGCTTAGGCCTGTTTGGCGCTTCTGGGTTCGAAGGTTGGGCTCTTGTGGCCTGTTTTGCACCCTAGAACCCAAAGAAGCAGCCCAGACACCCCGCCCCCCCACCCGGGTTTAGGGTTGAGGGTTTAGGGTTTAGGGTTTAGTGTTTAGGGTTTAGGTTGAGCCCCGATTCTCAGGAACTGCGTATGCCTTCGCCTCGCTTATCTCCTCGACAGATCCAGTGGCCACGCTTTCAACGTGCCTGGCTGAGCCTTCCCCTGTTGGAAAGAGCGGGAGACTTCTTTGCTAGGTTGTAAGTCGAGTTACAGGTACCCTGGAAGGGGCTGTTCTCCTGCGTATTACCTGCTATTAATGAACGGTCCTACTTCTAGCCTACTCTTCTTGAATGGCCTACTTACTGTGCGCGAGGTTTGGCACCATGAACGTGGACCCCTTGCTGTTCATCCTGGCCGCTCCGCTTCACGATTTGTTTGGAGGTTAGGGGCGGTTTGGGGTTTAGGGTTTAGGGTTTAGGGCTTAGAGTTCAGGATTTTTTTGGGAGTTTGGGCGGGAGTGGGAGGATGAGGGTGGTGGGGTTGGGATCTTGGGTTCGAAGCCATCCAAAAAACACATCTGCATGGTGATATGTGTATACACTATTAAAATTATACTTTGAGGTACAAGAACTGCATATTTATATACACATATACACATGTCCATACATATTTGTGTAGATATGCAGCAGACAAAGCTATTCTTAAGCACAAGCCCCTAAAACAACACACTACAGCTTAAACCTGTGATACTTTCGTCCTCAGGCCTATAGCTCCTCGGATAAAAGCCCAACGACGTAGAGCTTCCCTCTGTTTTTGTATGAATGGTCATGTTTAAACCCTGAACGACACCTGACACCGACACCCTGATTGCTGAAGAAGTACCCAGTAAGAGAGCCCTAGCCTGCATTCGCATAGGGTCGTTGCACATTCAGGTTTCGGTTTGATGTCAGGTGGGCTGGGCACATCAGGACGAAGTTGAGAAGAGGCTGTCTGCATATGTATATACATACAGGTTATATATATATATATATAGAGACATGGTGCCTACACCTCTCTCTCCGTCTTTACTCATATCTATATACATATATACATATATACATATATATATATATGTGCAGATTAGGTATATAACAAACAAGTCGAGCTTTGCGGTCCAGAAGAACGCGTCCTAGGGTTTCGGGTTTAGGGTTTAGGGATGTTTAGGGTTTAGGGGTCCCTAGGAGTGCTTTGATTCTTTGAGGGGACCGCGGGTGCTACTGTCTGTGGGCTTCGGGTTCTGATTTTGAGGTTTGGTTGCGATCCACGTTCTTTTGAGCTTGACATGAAAGTCGGTGGTTTTGGAGGGCA